TTGACTACGCCCGAACTAAATATTCTCTCACTAGCTTACTATGAGGTCAGTCTCACGGTGTGCATTTTATTCATTTGATGCTTGCATTGGCAGGAATAAGAGCAAATATTGTCAGTGTTCAATCACACTTGACCCAGCAAACTCTGAACGCTGTGTCGCTCATTTGCTTGCTTGTTCATTTCAAGTAAAGATTGAGATGTAATCAAACAACCCTAACAACTGTTTGGTTCCAGATGCATGAACTCAAGGTGATCAGCGATAGATTCTTGTTCGACATCGATTTATTAACAGTCAGTCTCCCGTGGCACAGAATATAACCCGTGTGAACTAATGAGCGTATTGCACTCGATCCCTGCATCGATTGAAGATACAATCGATCAATATTTGTTGGGTGTGAAGTATTGCTAGATTCATAGCTCTCTTCTTGCTTATTCAGGTGGATAATTTGGATCATGGCGGTCTAAATGGTATCTATCCGAGCAAATCGCTATCAGGCTGAAGTGACAAACTACTTCCTTCAGATACAGGTTTTGTTTAGCAAATTTTGGAGTCCTCGCTCCTGGGCTGGGTAATCCAAGTCAATCAAACGTGCTGGGTGTTGGAACGTCTCACCATAATGACGACTCCGTTGAGAGAGATTTAGTCTGAAATGTTTTCATCCCTCATTTTGGTGGTGGTCAAGCGATGAAGAACTCAACCTATTGCCCCAGAGGAAGTGTTTGAATCCAACCGCTACCTCAGCTTAGCTAGTTTCTTCTATGCATGTTCCCAGGCAGCACCTTCATGGCTAAAGCTCACCCTCTTCCTGATTTGTACATTTGTGTATGGAATAGAGNAAGTAAAACAGATTTAAATATATCAGTGAGTAGACTCTGAGTGATAAAGTGAGAGATAGTGAGGTACAAACGGGTAGGTGAACAGAAAATGTTTTGTTTCATTCCATCCTTACGAAACCAAACTATTCTGCAGTCATAACATTTACCATTGTTATACAATCAGTTAAAGGGTCTGGAACTGTAGGTGTCCATGCACCAGTCACAGTGTGT